ATCTCTGTAGCCATAATATTATTTGTTATTGTTGTAAAGATAACGGGATGAATCCTTTCCCATGAGAAAGAAAATCCTGACAATTAGATATAAGATGAATCATTTTTTACACTTGAGGGTGCTTCAGTAAATATAAAAAAGGCTAGATCTTTTTAGTCTATATCCTGTCTGCAATAACATATGTTTTCTGTACTTCCAACCAACATTACAAAAAAATGACTTTCTGCAGATTGTTTTTCAGGTAACAAGAAGGAAAAAAGTCAAGTTCCCTGGCCAACTCTTCTTCTACAAGAATCAGTGACAAAATTCTTTTAAGTTCTACAACGGGTATGGTGAATTAGAGAGCTTCCAAACTAATCCAGGCAGTCACCAGGAATCAACAATGACTCAAGGACACAGACACACAAAAAAGTCCATTTAAACACAGGTTTTTTTTTCCTGAAAAAAACATAGGATTTCACCAGCAACAGGATTAGCATAGGCCAAAACCTGTTACATTAACTATTTAAGAAGTAGATACTTCTGGAGCATTTAGATGTGGTATCTGATTTATTTTCAGTCTGCCAAAAGATGTGGAAGTATAGTACAGATATGTGAAGTAGAATAAGTTACCTTTTTATTTTAGCTATCAATACCGAATGGGTTTGCAAATCTTTCCAAGTCAAGACATTTCAAGACTGAAACACCCCATGGGCTGTTTGGGCCCGTCTAGAGCTCTGCTGAATGATAGGGTAAAATAACCTCCTTCAAAATTTGCAATAATGTCAAGAGATACCCTAATATAAATAGAATAACATTGTTTAATATTATGCCTTTTTTATGCATTATGTGGTAACAGTTTAAAAGTGAAGTGTGTGTGTGTGTGTGTGTGTGTGTGTGTGTGTATGGAAAAAAATAATCAAGATAATTAGTATTATTGCTTTATTGAATTTCTAGAAGACCTCTTCAACACTTCTCCAACTGGCTCAGAAAGAAAAAGAGACTAAAGTGAGGAGATCATGTCATCTCAATTATTCTTTTAGTGTTACTCACTGAAAAGACATTAATATTTTTTTGGACAATCTGGCCACTCCCCCCAAATCCCTCTGAGGATTATGATGGATTCAGAAGTTTAGTAACCGTGTTGAAGAGAGGCATTATTCCAGCAAGGGGCATTTTGAACAAATGCTCCATATCTGATTTGTTGTTGTTGTTTTGGAAAACAAGTTAGCTCTATTCCCCAAGGGCTTCCAAGCAGTGCTTCAGTGTCTCTGTAAGTATAGCCTCTATGTCAAGCAGAAGAAAAGCCCTTTTGATTTCCTATATTAGAACATACAGTATACCATTTTTCTCTCATATAGTAAATCCTACTAAAGTCCAACCGGTCTTGTCCTGCAACATGAAAGACAAATTAAAGGCATTTTAGATATTATCACTGCAATTGAGAAAAGGAAAAAAAAAAAAGTAAAAGATCTTTTTGTCTCATTTAAACAGCACATATTGTTGGTTGGAGAATATAAATTCCCTGATGGTTTCAGCTGCATAATTCCAGAAGGAATGAAGGATCAGTTCCCTTCTCTTTTTAATATCTTGCTCCAAAGTGGCCTCAACCAGTCTTAGCATGAAGGTTGCAAAGACTAGAGCAAGATGCAAAGCAGTTGTACGATTCAGGGTAACTGCTTCCTTCAAGGTAACTGCTAATTCAAAATCTCTGTTTGCTAGAAAGAAAAGAATTTTATCTATGTGAAGAAGGTAATTCTGTATCTCCTGTTTTCTTGCCCAAAGGCCTTTCCACTGAATTAAGTACCAGAATGCTTGGGAAACTGATGGAAAGCCTTTCTTAAAATGACTTTTCAATCAAATCTAGGAAGAGTAGCAGGACATGGATTGGGTTATTGTGGCTATTATAAATAAACCATTTCTGACACAGACCATTGTTTTAAGGGATTAATAATCTGCTCATTATCAATAATTAGGATTCCTTCTCCTTCTCCTTCTCCTTCTCCTTCTCCTTCTCCTTCTCCTTCTCCTTCTCCTTCCCCTTCCCCTTCCCCTTCCCCTTATTGAATTCCATGTCAGGTACATATTAAGAATAATTCAGAGTAAAAAATACAGGACTCAACTTTGGGTGAGTGCTGAATTTTTTTTTAATCCCGCCAAAGTTGCCTTTGTGAAGGACATTCATTCAGATTGATTTTTTTTTAAAAAAATCTTTGAATAATATCCCAACTTTTCTTTCTCCAGTTTGTCACGCTATCTAGATGCCAATATCTATCCTTACTTGGCTACATTCAAAAAAACCCATCAGCATCACATATCCTATTTAATTAGCACTGGTGAGAGGGGGGACAAAAACAGAAACACAAGCACTTGGAAGTTGACAGAAATAGAACAAAAGGCTTTGGAAGAAGGAAGTAACAAACCCCTTCTTTGTACTGCCAAAGGCAGGAGGAACCAACACTGACATATCTATATAATCACATCCAGCATGACCAGCATGACAGTTTTTGGGGAGGGTGGAGGGGAACAATAAAGATGGGGAAAATGCATTTGGAATACTGAAAGAGGAAATCAGTGGATTCCCGTGTAAATGAGGACAAGTGTGGCCAACTAAACAGAATGAATTGCACAACCAATTAATACCTTGTATTTCAACTTCCAAACATCTCTCCATTTTGACATTAATAAGAAACAGATGCCTGAGATCATATCTATTAGCATTTTCTTTAGGAACAGTTTCCCTTGACTTTAAATCACTTCACAAATGCATAGATGGGGATGCAAATGGTATTCACAGCAAATACTTGTTGCTATAATCAGTGAATCGAAACATCAGAACAATAAAAGAAACACATTGTTAAAATGAGAAAGGCAACGCTTAAATTTTCCACTTGGTTAAACATATGGAAAAGAAAAAGAAAACACAGTATCATACATTATAATACAATTCTCAATATTGGTCTACAGAAAAATGTGATCTTTACATAATATATATGTTTAGTTGAAGTCCATTTTTATCTTTGTATACTATATCATTAACTGTGTTTTATTTTTTGACAGATCCTATGTTTCCTGAAACCTCTGGGTTGGAAAATCAAACGGCAATAACAGACTTTATCCTGTTGGGACTCTCCAATGATCCCCACATACAGAATTTTTTTCTTCTTTTGTTTACGATCATTTTTTTAGTCACCATCCTGGGAAACATAACCGTTATATTGGTGATCAAGTCTGAGCTTCACCTTCAGACCCCCATGTTCTTCTTTCTCAGCCATTTAGCTTTTGTTGACATCTGCTATTCCTCAGTCACTGTTCCCAAGATGCTGGCAAACTTTGCAACAAAGCAGAAAACTATTTCCTTGGAAGGATGCATTGCACAGGTCTTTTTCATTTTCC